ATTGCTCTAGCTATAAATTTATTGTTCCCACACAAAAATTTAGTATCAACGATGGGATTACTGACTTCATGTTACATTAGCACCTCAATTTCTCAAAAATTATTAATAAAAAATCAATACAGCAGAATTTTTTGCTAACTTTTTGTTCTAAAATACAGAGATGAAAATTTTAAATCATTATAAATGCATCAGTATCGATTACTGTAACCGCGTGAGAGTAAAGTGATTAAATAAATATGAAATTAATATTATAAATTAATATCTCTATTAAACTGTTTCTCGAATTATACATAAATGCAAAATATCTTATTAATCTTATTATCAAAATGTCGATATCATAATTTTTCAAATGAGGAATTTTTAATTAAAATTGCTTTAAAGTTTGACAAATCAAATGTTTAAGAATTTGCGTACTCAGGTTGCATAGTAAGTAGGTGCTTTCATTGTCAGACATAAATTCGCTTTCAGATATTATATTTTTCCTTTATAATCCTGCATGTAATGATTAAAATGATGTTAAAATTACTTCGAAACGTAATTTCATTTATCTAGAGATCATTATTTTGTTATACATGCCGATGATAATAATAGCAATATAAAAATATATATAATTACGGGCTATTGTGACGTCAGAATATGCGACGTGCATCGAGATGTCAATACTTCGTATGAAGTGTATCGTAGACACGCGCCAACGATATATATAATATAAAGATGGTTTAATATCAAATTTTAATTTAAATCAATTTTTTGTTTTCGTCAAAGCTTGGAAATCTAATAATAAAAGTAATAATTATTATAATATAATAGAAAAATCGATAACTTTTTCAAATATATAATGTAATGTTTCTAACTGTACTTATAGATTTAATGATAAATAAATAACTTGAGATTTTTATGTAAATATTATACAAAGATTCATTTGACATAACAATCAAAATTTTTTTTTTATATTTTATCGTTAACATTGAGTATCGTGAGTTTCAGCTTGTGTATGTAAAATCGCGATAATCGAGTTTTAAATGTATTATCGGTTTACGTTCATTGTTTTGATTTTTTGTACGTTATCGACAGTCGCATGGACATGAACCGATTTAATTGAATAATAAATCGAGTTTTCTTCTTTTCTTTCTATTCGCATCTTTCTCATTCTATGAACGTGTCGAATGTTTACACTCGAGCGAGTCTAGGTCAGGAACGTTGATGACGACAGCTACCAACATCTGACCTTAGGTCTAATTTTAAATATCTCGCAGAAGGTGATGTATGCAGGCGAATTATTAAAAAACTATTTTTATTAGTTCCTTATCTTGAATGAATATGTACATCGGATATCTATGAAATATTTGAGAAGGACGATCCCCATAAGACTCGCGTAATTGAATATAACATATATTGAATAAAAAAACTAAAGCATGTTTTCTTATTTTAACTAATTCAACAAGTTTTTGTTTTCTAAAAACATAAAATTTTTAAAAATGTGTGCAAATTTATTTCTTTCTTTATAAATATGCATAGAAAATGTTTACATATTTAATACAATGTATAATGCAAATCTTTTATTTCTCGTTATTAAAAGACACATTTTTGAAAATTATTATTTCATTTTTTCACTCAAACACATCTTTATTATACTTTCGATAAAATCGATGAAATATAGATAAATAAATCATTTTATGTCTTAAATTTTATACAGTATATCGTGTTAAACAGAAAACAATGCATAAAAAATACTTCGGTAAATATTTAAAATAGAGATTTTCATAAAATAAAAATTATTCCTTGAAAACTCAATTATTATATGTATAATTAATTCTATACAATCTAAATCTATCCAATAAATAATTTTTGCATTTCAATAGTTTAAACGTGTTTGATGTATGACAATTATACATTTGTAGTGGACATTATCTTTTGTTAACTGTGCATTTTGCATTAGAAATAAAAAATAAACTATATTATATAAAAGAATATATAGATCATTTCTATTAATATAGCTTTATATATTCTTATCAATATATTCTTTATTTGACGCGATAATAGAACAAAGACAATCTTAAATTAAATAAAATTTTGTAAGGTATATATACTTTATGATATACTAATTATGTAGTTTTCAGGTTACATAACATGTACACATAGTGTCTCACTTATTCTTCTTGTTTTGACAATCACCTGCCAAACAGATGTGTTTGCCAAAAAGATTTTATTTAGAAAAAAAAATTGTTCTATCCTAATAGTGACATTTTATAATAATTTTATAATAAATTTTATAAATAATTTTATAATAAATTTTATAAATTAACGTAATTTTGTTTTGAATAAAAAGGTTTTCAAAATTTAAAGATTACCTCCCTTTTTAAAAATCATATTTCGGATTTTGAAAGTATATAATTTTTCTTTATACAAGGAAAACTCAAAGAATACATAAAGAACTTCATAAATAAAAATTTCATATTTTATTCCAAACATAAAATATATTTATATTGCCGTTGCTCTTTGGACATATTGCTATCATATGTATAGTAATGTTACATTTAATAATCTACACGCGCATTTCTCGCATCCGTGAATATAACACTCCCATGGCACCAGTAAAATAAATATAAGTATAAAATAATAAAGATCACCGATTTAAACTCAATATCAACTTTAATAGACAATAATAAAGGACGGTGAATAAAATAATCAAATTTTGACTTAAGCGATGGTATCTTTTTTTATGCGTGTTTTCTTATACAATTTTAGATGAATCATTTGCAAATATTATTTTCAAACTGACATGATGAGATTGCAAATGTTATTTTCAAACTGACATGAGAAAATGTTAAAAATTACGTTCAAAGTACCATAACTTCGTCGAAATCGAACAAAAACTCAAGAATATATAGCACTTTCTTTTTCTTAGCTTTTTCCTCTTTCTATCGCCTTTCTATTTTTATTTAACCTAGTATCATCTAATCTTACCCAGTCTAATCTAACATCACCCAATCTGTCCTAAACTATTCCGCTCTTATTGTTAGTATGATCCAGGATCAACGACGTGGATGTGCCGGTTATCAGATCCCATGTGTGTGTGTGCGCGCGTGTGCGTGCGTTTGTGTGTGTGTGTGTGTGAGACTATGTGTTTAAAAAAGCTCGTTATAAATTATTATTTGCAAATGATTCAGCATATCAAAAACTACAAGAAAACATGCATAAAAAAGGTTCCATATCGTTTAGGTCAAAATGTGTTTATTTTACCCATCATACCTTTACAAATGATTATAATCACGGAACCAATCGTAGAACATCTGCATGAAGTAACAACTCATTCTGAATTCTCGTGTTTACAAATTGACAGTTCTATTGTTCGAGAAATCGGTCTTCATTTGCCGCTGCTTTCTCAGAGTATTGATTTTCTATATAGTTCACCCTACTTAAGTAAAGTACAGTAAATCCTACTTTTGAAATAAAATAAAAATACAATTTAGTTTGTTAACATGTTTAGTTTGTTAACATAATGAGTACAATTCTCTTATGCTGTACCAACATTCATAGCATTATTCATTTTGTTGTATGTTATACGATACATTATACCATGCACATTTGTTGAAAATAAATGTTACAAAGGCATAAGGTGTAATAAGAGTTTAAAAAATTTTAATTTAAGTTAATTCTTGTAATGACCATTTAATGCACCATTGATATTACGTAATTTATTTATTTATAACATATTAATATGTAAATAAATTTATATATTATTTTCTTTTATATTTTATAATGTCTTCTATAATAATTTTATAAATGTAAAAAAACGTTATATCCTATGCGAATTGTATATTCTGGCACCATCAATAAGAAATTATTTTAAATTATATCTTATTGTGAAGCACATCAAACTTTCAGTATATTTAAAGTCAATATTATCTTAAATATTATAATGTATTATAAATTAAATAATTTAGATTGATTAAACAAATTAAATAATTTTATATCAGACATTTCTTTATACATATACATATACATATATATGTAAATTACATGCACGCACACATACAAGCGCACAAAGTATTGTGTGTGATTTTTATAAATTGTTGGGCAGTATTATATTATTTTAAATTATGTATTGCATAATTTACTGTTGCATATTTTATTTTATTGCATCTTTTTTATCTCAACTCTGTCCATTTCCGGTCTTTTTCTTTCATGGAAAAATCAGTTTCTCTACTAATCTCATAAAAACTGAGGTAATAAACTTTTAAATAAGTATATAAGTTAATCAGAGCTTCTAACGATTAAAATCACAAAAATTAACAAATAAAAAGCTATGGGAGTTATGCGCGGTGAGAGGTGCGCAAATTAGTCAAATTACATAAAATGAATAAAATAATTTAAATTGATATAATTTACATATTAATATATTACAAAGTTCCGGCTAACTTCAAATCATTTTCAGTGATATAATTAATGATAAAATACGCGTGAAGTTTACACGGTGATTAAGGAGTGCGTATTTCTTGAATACATTCTTAAACCCGTTGGCCAACCGGATAAATCTTATTATGCGCCATAATTAATGAAACGAAGATATTTGATCCGCATGTTGGAAATTATCAATTATAAAATAAAAAATGTATAAATAATAAGTCACTTGTTAAAATAAATATGTATAAATTGCGATCGTCGTCAAGAAATATGAAATGAGCAAATGTCTTCCTATATCGGATTCTTACAGCGAACTTTTTATTTTTCTTACTTCTTATAGCTGTTGCATAGGTGTTGTTGCAATGCAGCACAAAAATGTTGTGATTATCACATGCTCAACAAAAACTAAAACATCAATACACAATGCGCACAAGTCTAAGAATAAATTAACACTTGATGTGCTCGTTAAGGTAAAGGATACATAACAAAGGGAAATACAAATCAAAATAAACTTAATTATTATATTTAGTTTATATATATAAAACACAGTATGATAATATCAATTGTCAATATTTTGGGATTTTTCTTGATTATTTTACGTTTTCGGTGGTTTGTTATTATTTTATCAAAATTTTCTAAATGAATAAAAAAAAATTGAAATTGAATTACTGTTGAAAAATCATTAACACAACTATACGAGTAATATTTATAAACACAATTATAAATGGAAAACTAAATAATGTATTTAAGCTCTGAATTTGTCACGCAACCGCTTCAAGATTTCTTCAGGTGCAACAGCGACTGCCTCTATTTGTGCAGCAGCATGTCGCTGCTGAAGTCTTATCAGTAGCTGCTTAAAGTTAGCATCATAATCAAGGTAATTCTGTACTCTTGATTGTGACATATAGGGGGACTTAGCAAGGGTTGAATTCTTGTGAAGTGTTAATATGAATGTCCCAAGTCTACCGAGATATTTTTCATTATCAATGTCCTGATAATCAGCTCTAGCCGCTCCGGTCAAGTATGATGCCTCTATATGATATCTAGCTGGATTTTCTAATATGTTTTTCCTAATTTTTGGTAGGTTTTTAAAGTCATCCACACCTGGACAGTATTGAGCATAAAAGCTTCGCATAAGACGCTTAGCTGATTCATATGCAATTTTGAGTCTACCTGTACCAGCAGGTAATGATTCGAATCTAAGTTTGATATCGGCTAATGAAACTAAAGCTCCTTCTACATGAGTTATGGCGACTGAATTTCGGATGTTCTTCATTCCAACGGCAGATAGAACTCCAAGAGTGCTGGTGAAATGGCCCAAACTATGAACAGCAGTAATCATTTGATCTGATACTTGCATTCCATCGAAAAAAATATCCATAACTTTCTTAACATAGCCTGCCACAGTTCCTTGTCCTATATGGTGATTTATTAGCCAATAATTGACTTTAGTTGCTACAGCTATAGTTAATCCCTTCTTCATCTCGTTAACAGTCACCAAACTGGCAATATTTTTAATAATGTCTGCAGTAAATGACTCTGTTACGTTTGTAGCTCTCCAATCCCCATCCGAGACATCACCAGCTTTTCTTACCAACCCAAGATCTAGTATGCCAGCAACACCATTTACAAATAACTTTCTAGCATTTTCATCTGCAAACCTATTATAAGCCCATACCAGTGCATTCTGTTTTATCAATTTATGCTGAGCTGCTGCTCCTGCTTGATATAATATAGGCAGTTTTTGATCGTCTGGCAAGGAGGCATCAATCTGCAGTATTATTTCTGCTTCTATCTTACTGTTGATCGAGGGCAAAATAATGTAATTCCAGTCGGTAATTTCAGTCGCCATTTTATACTACAACAGGAGATAAATAAAATCAGTCCGCTGTAGGAATTCGATATAGGAAGACATTTGTTCACTTCATATTCTTTGACGATCGCAATTTATACGTATTTATTTTATTTTAACAAGTGACTGATAATTTATACATTTCTAATTTTATAACTGACAATTTCCAACATGCGGATCAAATATCTTCGTTTCATTAATTATAACCGCATAATAAGATCCACTCGGTCAACGGATTAGATTAGAATTCCGTTTACGCGTATTTTATCATTACCAGACATCACAGACGCGCGCTTTGCGCGCGCTTTTTATTCTTTACTTTCTACTTACTTGTTTAAATGTATTATATTGGATTATATTGTATTATATTACAATATGCTATTAACCTCTTGTTACGCACAACTGTCAAAATGACAGCAATGTCATGATAACAATTGCTCGCGAAGTAAAACGCAATGAGAAAACCAATCAGAATCGCGAAAAATTAAGAAGCTTTGATATATGCAACTATCAATTTAACATGCTTTTTTCTTAGAACATATATTAATATATGTTCTAAGAAAAGTTTATTGAAAAAATTGTTGTACTATAGGTAAGTATAATATTAAATAGTTTTAATGTACGTTTTATTATAATATAATGCTAACAAATTAAACATTTGTATTTTTTTATTTAGCTTGAAATTAAAAGTTGAAAAATGTTAAGTATATAATCTAATTATTAAGATACGTTTTATTGCACAAAAATAAATTGCTATTAATATCTTTTAGATGTTTTATATTAAATATATTATAATTTTAAGAATATTTAACGCACAAAATTTTATTCTTTATTCTAGTTCTTTCTTCAATAATAATAGGTGTAACGTCTTGTTGTGAGCACATAGAGCGGGTCAAATAGATAAATCTACTATTGATTTTCGCAATAATTAAATAGAAATTAATTAATAAAGGTCTGTGATTAAACATGCATCCGCAATTCAGCGGCAAAGGAGAATCCAGCGTTACGTACCATTCGCGGTTGTACGTTAAACACGCGCTCCTGCAATACCTCGCTGAATCATGTAGATATATACAGACTCATTCGCATATCTTTATTAATTAATTTCTTATTAATTATTGCGACACTCGTAAAACGATAGACAATTTTTCTATTCAGTTTAATCCGTGTCCACGAGAGGTGAGCTACTTATTAGACGCCTTGTATACATATGTAAATGAGATTATATAAAGATTATATAAAGATTCACAAAGTGTCTCAATTTTAACGCCGAGCACGATATTACAGCAAATTAATACTCGAGATAAATTGTGAAATAGAAATATCAAAGTGATGTAATACATATTCATTTCTTCTTTTTTTTTAGTGTGGTCAAAATTAAATTGCTAGCTTCAATATTATGGCACTTAATCTTAAATGGCATTTAACTTATGGCGTTTAAATTCTGTTAAACGACGCGCGTTCGTTGAACTATCATAGCTTTTGAACTGGACGCGTGTTAATTTTTTTTTTAAATACATTAAAATTTCTACGATCTCTCTCTCTTTCTCTCTCATGATCTTCTCGAACATGACACAAGCCAATTATTTTTAGGAACAATTGTGTCTAATCTCACCTCTTCCGCTTGACCGTTTTTCACTCTCTTCGCGATTTCGCTTGCTTTAACGGGCTCGATTTCCGCGTCTTCCACCTGCGAGTGCCGTCGCTCCTGCATATCCGTGGCCAGCTCCTGATAACAGGACTCTCCGGAGCCGCGGCGACTGCCTGCGATACACATAGCCCGGCGGAACAGACCAGCGACGACCGCGCACAGACCGCATTGCATCTCCGTGGTGCTGCCCCGGCTGGAGAGCGACCCACCATTGGCTCGGCGGCGGGTCCGAGACCCACGGGAGCCGCTGTCACGTGCTTGGGCCGCCAGTTTCGCGTATCTGCCGCTTACGCTCGCACTCTTTTTTTTCTACTTTTACTTCGCCAAATATCTCTCTATCCTTTCCTCTTCATCTTCTCCTCATAATACGTTTCTTCCTCGCGTCATTGCGCCCCCCTCCGATGCACGCTTGTACGCACACTTTTGTACTCCCCAATTCCCGTCAAACTCGCCGAGCTGTCAACCGCCGCCTACCGCATCTACTTTTTTTTTTACTCCACAGAAATTCGCACTCTCAACACAACGCCACGCCGGCAAGTGCGTGTCACCTACGCGATGGAGTTGATGCAAAGATCATAGAAGGTCGAGCAATGTAACTCGAGAAATTGCGAATACTACAGGAAGCGAGAAACAAAAAACAAGAGAAAAGAGTAGAGTATAATATATATCACTTGGAGCCTAAAACTTTTAGAATATCGTACAAGTTTGAAAAATGTGATATATTAGAGGAACCGGAAAGTAATGCTATTCTGTGTACAATAATGCGATGCATTCTAAGATTTTAAAAGCTAGAGATTACAACGAATGCTTATTGTGCCCAATTTGATTGACTCTTCACTACTTCACAAAATAAGTATTCGCGGTTTTCTTTGATAGAAAATCTTTGATATTTCATGATAGTATATAAAATTCCATGTTAAAACAAATTATTATCCATTTGATATAAGAGTTACTATATTCTTTATAATCTTCATATACTTCTGTTTTTTTTTACTAACCTTTTTTTTTTTACTAACCACTTTTTTACCTAAAACAGTTTTAAAAAAACCGTTTATATATAAAACTTCTATTTAGATCGTCATAATTAATACACATTTTATCCAAGCTATATCTTTTAATTGAAACGATGATATTGAAAATCTAATACACAAATGGAAGATTATGAGAATAATTATACTACTCCTCAATAAATAATAAATTTTCCACGACTATTCGCATCTTTTTTTTTTAATATGAATATAATAAATTGTCGTTATATTCCGATACCTCTAATATAAAAAAAAATTATGCAAGTGTGATAACCGGTTAATATATATAAATTCTTAGAATAATGTAGAGACATAAGAGAAAGATTAATGGCTTTTGCATACAGCAATACATGCCGTGTGTAAAAAGTGAAATAAATGATAACCAGTCATTTCCATCTTTTGTTAGAAATAATGCATGATGAGAGAGGTGATTGCAATCCTATTGCTTCTCTATTACTACGTTCTCTGCGCAAGAAGCACTACTCAATCAAAAGTATAGTCTGATATAATGTTAATACGATCAAATCTCCATTAAATTAAATAATAACAAAAAGCCTGAGAAATAACATCAGTTTACTCACGAAAAGAGAAGATGAGAAAAAAACAAATTTATTCTTTTTTTGTGTGAAATAAAATACGTAACAAAATATTTAGTAAGGAAAGTTGCAACAGATAGCACAGTAAGTTTAACGAATAATTAATTAAAAATATTAATTAATAATAATTAACAAATTAAAATAATAAAATATACATGAAAACTATAACAAAAAAGTATTCAATATTTAGTATTCAATTATTAAATTAAATGTCAAAATTATAATAAACATATCAAAACCTGCATTCACACAAATCTAATAAAAAAAACAAACGTGTAAAAAAAAATATCTTGGTATCCAATAAGAAAACTATTTCTAAGGATTTTGTATGCATCTTTTCTAGTAAGAACAGATTAAAGTTTCGCAATTTTTAATGATTTTCAAGAGAGGCAGAGAGACAGAGAGTGGAGAGGAAAAAAGAAAGGAACAGAGCGAAAGAAGGCAACCGTTAATATTTCAATCATGAAGATTCCAGTTATTACGCGAATATCATGCTGTAGAAAGGAATAATCGGCATTAATAATGCGAATAAAATTATTTCTTACAATTTGTTGAAAGAATGCTTTTATGTTTGAAATTACTGTTTTACAAGATGAGGAAAATTTTTAATATCATAATTAAGATTGGCAACATAGGGAGTATGCTGTTTATCCCATACTTTTATTTCTCCTTTATTACAGAATACTGGGATTGCTTGTTATTCGTTATCTTATCAAAAATAGTAAGATCGCATAGAATTTCGAACTTAGCATAATAATAGATAGAGAACTGACGACAAAACCAGGTAGAGCCAATGTCACAATTCATATGAAAAATTATTGTTCCGTTCACGTTCGATCTAATGTGCTGATAATAATAGTTGAATATAATTCACAATAGACACGATAGACCGCGTATTTATAACTCATAATTGTTATTTTTAAATAATATTATTGACTTCGACAATTATTTTTAAATTAAGACAACATAATTTATAATTATGTATATCTTTTTTTATAACTGCTGATAATATCTGCTTACAGTTTACAATTCATGTATGAAAATATATACATGCGCGTATATATAATAAATAATTATGAGTTACAAACGCATGATATCGTATGCATAGTGTGTGTATGTGTGTAAGCGTGCGCGTGTATAATGAATTAGATTTGTGAAGTTGTATCGTGTGATAGCATACAATCATATGTATGTATAGTGTACTGTACAGTGTACTATAGTAATTTCCTAAACATTTAAAAATCCTCACTGGAGATTATTAAAATTTAATACGTATTATAAAATTTAATATGTATAGAGATGATTCGGAAGAAGAGTAACGAATTTTGACAGACTGTTTAAGGCATTCTGAATAAGAAAAAAAAAATCATTATAAGCATAAGTCCTGTTCTCGATACTTATATAATTTTTTAATTTTGGCATCATAGTGAAATCACACACACGCTTGATACGAAGTAACCTTTCAGAAACGAAACAAAAGTGGGGGATATGCAAATGTTAATTTTAGTTTTATAATAAATGTGATTTTATTATGACAGCAGCGAAATTTTGTAACTCATGTAACTATACCTAAGTATTGAGACTCGAATCTGTGCTCATATGACATTTTTTACTGTAATTGTGAGAATGATTTCACAAACAATCTGTGATCAAAGTTTGTTACACTCGTTCCGAATCACCCTGTACACGAGGCACTCCATAGCGTATAACTATTTTGCATTAGCCCATTAAAACGACACAACGTGGCGTTTTTTTTTTTTTTTATATTGATGGGTTTTAATTTGTATCATTACGAATTGTTTCGTCTTCGTCACTATTCATTTGAGTTGTATCCTTGGAGTCCTATCATTTCCTAAACATATCTTTCACGAGGTCGTTAGAAACCGATTATAGTAAACTTCTAGTTCGTCTCCTTCTCTCTCTCACTCTCTCTCTCTCTCCCTCCCGTTCTCTTTTTCCCTCTCCTTCCTCCCTCTCCATTCTCGCGCTTTTCTCTCCTCCTTCCTTCGTTCCCTCCTATTTCTCCCCTCCTTCTCACTATATTTATCTATCTCCCTCTTATACTCTTTTCCTTTCTTCCTCTGTCCACGATTAACTCCCACTATAGCACCCATAACTACGCCCTGCATAAACATGATTGTAGCGCAATTTGCAAATTATCAAAGAACGATATCTACGGATACTCCGTGTGCTAACCAAGAATTTAGGAATTCTTCTCAATCGATCTCATATGACAATCAAAATCAGTATGCTTCTTGACTTTTTTTTTTTGCCGGAGCTCTCGGCCCAGGATTTTTAATCTGCCGCCTCGTTAATAAATGCTATCTTGGCACAGCTTGACCCTTCGATACGATGACGCTTTGTGTACTTCTCTCCTTCTCTCTCTCTCTTTGTCTCTCTCTTGTGTTCTGTCTCTTGCTTCCTCTCCCTTTTTCTCGAGAATATACCTTCGCTGATTCGAGGAAGTACTGACTTTGGTCGTGCGACTTGCGACGATTATTACGCGAGGCAAACTGCCGTCGTCGAAGGGTAACGCCCGTGCAGACGTCGCAGCCGGCTCGTCCCCGGGATGAGCCTGCAAGCTCCATAATCGCATGCTTCCCCGCGGAGTCCGAACTGACAAGCGAGAAAGCCGAGAGCCACCGGGCCACTGGGGCCCGGCGCCGTTCGGAGCACAAAGACGGCGGTCGCCTGTGATCGTTCAATTTAGCTCTCGCTTCGTACGGACATCGATAAAAATAAGCACGAAGAGCAGATGAGCACGATTTCGCGCGCGGAAAGCGCTCGCGGTTCCCAAGAACGCGAACACCACTATCAACGACTATGCACGCCGGCCGGCCGCTGTGCACACACTGAAGTACTTTAGTACTGGAGTACTGGACCCGAGCGCGCTGAGTAGAGAGAGAGAGGGAGAGAAAGGAAAAAAGAGAGAGAGAGAAACAGAGAGGGAGAGGGAGAGAGAGAGCGAGAGAGACTCACTCGGTCGACGCTCGCGACCTCGGTCGCGCTCGGCTGTCTCCGTGCCCTGTGCTTTGGCCCTGTTCGCCGCGGCGCGCAGCCACGTTACTTCCCGGCGACGGGGCCGACGGGGCCGACGGGCGATCTCTCCCTCAGCCGCCGAGCCGAGCCGAGCCGCCCGTCCGTCGTCAATAGGTATACGACAAAGGCTTCCGACGAGAGAGGCTCTCACTACGCTGCGAGCTCTTGCCGCGAAAAGCTGGTTGAACGACGTTCTGCCATCGCCGTCGTATAGAAAGGGAGGGTAGCCGGCGCGCGAGGAGAAAGGATCAATAACAGATCTCTCCCTACTCTCCCTCTCTCGTGAAACACGACGTAGGGCAAATGTGCGCGATGTACTACGCACGGCATTTACATATGGATAGACAGCTAGGCAGGCGCACCCTGATGCCAACAGCTCATTTCCCTGGAGCGAATTCGCATGTTGCGTTTTTCTCGCTGTAGAGGCTGCAGGTGAAAACACGTTCTTCCGCGAACGTCCTACAGAGATTTTGCATGAAAGCGACGGTAATGCCACCGTTTATACAACATTTAAAGGGATTTCGCCCTTCGCGAGTAGTGCTTTAGAAAATACAACGTTTAAAAGGATTTCAATTGCGAGTGGTGCTTTAGAAAATTTATGTTAGAAATAAGAAAATGCTTAGAAATAAAGTGCCGTGACATAATTTACATTTCTTATATATATATATATATATATATATATATATATATATATTGTATATATAGAAAGAGAGAGAAAGAAAGAGGAGAAGAGGGAGAGAGCCATAATAAACAAATATAATTGTAACAAATAAAATCTTTTGAAGAAATCAACGAAATGTTTATACTAGAATATTATATTGTTCACAATATAAGTTATGAACATATTTATATATTAAAAAATACATATTACATATATAACGATGACACGTAACTCCAGAGCAATCGATTCATATAATCAATTCTGATTCAGCTTAAAAAAGCTCAGCAAAACGTTCCATAATTTAGAAAATTTTTCCTTTAAAATACAATATTCTTATCAATTTTTTATAACTCATAGCGTACCAACATCACAGTACAAGGACGATAGATTCATTCTATTAGTGCTTCTTTTACCAATTAACTATTTAATCATATTGATAATTATACACAACGTGTAAATAACAGAAACTAATAGATTAATGATTACTATGATATTTATATATATATATATAATTTGAAAATTTATAAGAAAAGTTATTTATCAATAAAAAAACAATTACGTATTAATAAATAATATTATATATTTATAAGCATATAACATAAAATTATAATTATTAAAAAGATATTGTACTAAATGAAATTGTTCCGTAAATTCCTTAGCATTCTGGATTTTCCTTTGAATATTTTTAAGTAAAATAATCTGAATTTATAAGAAATTTTTCTTATTATTAAATTTTTTTATCATGTTTCTACAAATATAGAGTATAAACGTAATTTTCAGTCAACCATTAATTCACGGAGATATCTTTATCCCTTCATGAAGTATATATTAAATAAAAACATTACAGCACACAAGTATTAGAAATGAATTGCTCAACTATTTTGATTTTGATTGAAAACTTCAAATGTTCGGCTTATATTTGATGGTTCTTATAACTCATTTAAATGAATGATAAACGCTTTAATTTATTTTATTTTTAATTTAATTAAATACAGTTAAATACAGTATCTTTAAATTTATAGGTGCTCTTTTCATTTTTACGCGTAATAAGATTTATTTCATTTGAGCATTTCCTTTTTCTACAATTCTGTATCAATATTTTCTAGAGTCTTATATTTTTTGTTTTTATCAGATTTAAAGTAATTTTAATTTTTGGAGAAGAAATTTCTTTACTAATAATCCTTTTATATTATTCAAAGTTGGTAGAATTATATTATCTGTTTTTCACAACGAGTCATTTCATACGTGTAAGAATAAACCATAATTAAGATTTTTATTATTGTTTGAAGTTTCAGTTTATAGAATCAATATATGATATTTAAGTAAGAGAATCTGCGTTATATTATATATTATTTTTTCCTTTTTTAAAATTTCATATTTATATTCCTCCAATTTTACTTATCGTCGCATTAAATAGATAATTTTTTAAAAAAGTCAAGATTTATGATCAGTGATTATTTTGCATATCTTTAAACATATAAGCACAGCAAAAAAAAAATTACCCAATACACAATAGCTAAGAGTTTCTTTTCTGTGGTATCATAATTACTTTTCGCTTTATTAAGTGTTCGAGAAGCATAAGCGATCGGTAGATCGTATTTTATCTTTTTCTGTGACACAATTATAGCGATTAGATTCCTTAATAAAACTAGATTTATTTGATAATTTTAATAAACAGCATTTATTACGCACTTAAATTTAGCGGGATTTACAAAGTCTTACGCATGCTCACGAACGAACACCAATAGCACGCGAGAAGCGAATAAAGAAAAAAAAACGCGCGTATGTCTGTGTCTTTCGTCTTCGTTAATTCTTAAGAAGTCGTTCATCTTTCAGTTATCGTTCTCGTTCTGTCAAACCGTTCTTACAACCGATACATTGTAAGAAGTTATGGGCCCTAGTGTTTGACAGACGAAGTGCAACGAGCATAACATAAGAGCACGTGGCACGCGAGCCGGTTAAAAAGAGATATTTTTAATCATAGCGAGCTGACAGCGGAACAGAAACTATTTCGCGTGATTTTTTTTGTTTGCATGTCACGCCTGTCACGGTCGTGAAATGATATAATTGATAAAATATCACTACGAAATGTCATAAAGTTCAACGGAAAGAAATTTCGAAGTATGGAAATTTCAATTGAAAATAATGTTTCACATGAATCACATGTGACCTGCGAAACATAGTCAGCGGAATCGAATATAAAAACCAGAAGCAGCTCGAGAAAGTGCAACATCAGACATTGGTTAAAAAAAAAACCGTGAAACGTAGATATCGTTTATTGTATATCTGAATAGCAAATGCAATCACTCCGCTATTCGGATGTGACGTCAAAATAAAAAAAAATATCTGTCAAAAATCGAGCGTTGCAATCAACTGTTACCGCCTATCAATCACTGTTAACGCCTAATATTGTTCTCTGCTGTCAAAAGTAGGAAAATTACGAAAATTTGTCTGACAAGGGCGTTTTTCAAAATTTACATGTTTGAACTTGGCGTTACGATATTATCGCTTATACAAAACGGAGAGAAAAATTAAAGATATTTTTTCTATAATTTAAATCCCAACTATCAATTGAGATTAATTAGAATTATTCAGTTGGTTTAGCTGTTGCTGAGATATAAAAATGTGAAAATTATTTATCTTGGCGGCTTGCATGAATATAAGGTATCTCGTTGCTGTTCTACAAATTTTAGTGCATGTAAATTTGACGTGAGACACTACCGTGTCTTTTGATATAACAGATATAACTATTACAATTAGATTTTAATGCTTAATGTATTTCAAGAAGAAACAAGTTTGTGTCAGATATTTGAATATAACGTGTCATATGATTAAAACAATTGCAGTAAATACGGCGATTTATCTTTAAGTAAGCTTTAATTTGATTATAAAAATATTTCGAAAATTTTAAAAACAATAGTAAATAATCCGAGTATTTTGAAAATTGTATTTTCAAAAATCTTGCATGCAATTATAGTATCTTTGAAACACAAAAAATTTAATTTAAAACATTTTTGCGTATCTCTTATCGTTTTTATATACCCTTGGAAATATAAAAATTGATTTTTCGAAGATATTTTACTTTTTTAATATATGTAAAGACATTTGTAAAAAAAAAACTTTTCTCTAATTTTCATTTACATTACAATATATATATCCAAAGCTTATCAAAATGGATTTCTACCATTTGCTATCTTTTTCTTATTAATTTTTTCTCAAAGACTTTTCAGTTTGATGCGTTAAATATTCTTTAAATCTTAGACCTTTCTTTTTAATACTTCACATATACGTATACATATATACAAATATAAGCAAACAGTTCAATAACCTTCGATTTCTCCAAGTTGAATTATTTGTCAAAAACCGAAAACACAAACATATATACATACAATATATTCGTTTCGAGCATAGGTTTAGGTAAAAGTACCTTTAAAAACGTGAACGTAAATAAGGTATCTGCGGATGTATTTTCGGGTGCTTGTACTTGCGTGATATTTAAACGACTCACCGAGTAGGAATTGATTTCGTCATACATGATTACCCAGTGGCGGGTGTCACGATGGCCCCCGAAAGACAAACACGTGGAGTATGGAATCATAGTGGCGAGAGAAAGAAAGGTAGGGGCGAGAGGAGTAGAAGAAGGAAGGGAGAGAGAGAGAAAGAGAGAGAGAGGGTAAGGACTGCTTTCACCGCTGTTGCTGCGGTGACGGGTGAGCGTCGACGGCCGGGATCGTGACGACGGGCTTCTCTGGCGATCTCGATAGCAACGAGAGACGACAGTGACGATGACAGCAACGGCGGCGATAGTGGCGGCGTCAACAAAGACGACAACGACGGCGATGATGACGACGACGACGGTAGCAATGTCTACCATCAACTCAACGGCGCTCGCACCGGACTAGGAGGTGAATTTTATGAAAGAAAACAACGGTGGATCGCGACACCGGCGACAGCGGGCGGCCACGAGACCTCAACGCAACCAGAAAATCGCGACCCCTCATTGGCCGTGGCGCGTACAATTGTTGTACGGCCGCTTGGTGGTCGACGCGCGCAAACGCGCTCCTGGACTCCGGAGATCAATGAGAGTTGATGTCGAAGACGCGCGGCGAATGTGGCGTGGCGCATCCGGAATATCCGGACAAGGAGCACTAATTATATGTCTCGATTGACGAAAAAAACCGAATTTATTAATTTGAATGAAAAATACAAAAAATAATTTGAGGGTAATAATATAAATGTAAAATATAATAATATTTAATTAAAATATAATAATATTTAATTAAATTATATGTTTATTTTAATGTTTATTAAATTATTTAATTTTTGTTTTTGTTTATTTAAAAAAAAATAAAACAGTTTAGTATAACTTTTTCGCAACAGAAAGTCTTCAAAAACTTTCTGGTAGATGCAATCGATGCAAGTGATAATTGCACTTTGTGTTTATTGTAATATGGAGTGAATATAATGAATAAACATTATTTAATCTATTCTCGAAATATTTTCAATCACTTTTATTTAGATTGGATTTTTATTAAAATGTAACTTAAGGAATAAAAAAATAATTTTTGTGTTCCACAATCGCGCATAATTATCAAAGTTATATGATCATGCAAAAATCAAAACGCAACTGACAGAAGCAAATGTATGATTTATTTAATACATTTGCATTTCTTTAATCTTCTAAGGGCGGCGTCGTCATTAAAAATTTTTTTACTGATTTACTCAAAAATATTTTATAAGAGAAAAATCTGTCGAAATGTATAATTCTATCGATAGATGTCGATATTATCCTTTTTGGCGATAAATTTCAATGTTCAATGTTACATACACATTTAATCTCCAATTTTTTAATGTAATTTATTATACCGATCTCGAATTTATCCTGAAAAAACTTAAATAATAAAAATCAATAAAAATTTTATTTTAATATTAATTTTATTATACTAATAATAATGCCATATCTATAAGAATTTTAACATTATGTATTGATATTTATGTACATAATATTAATTTTAATATTATATTTTAATATTTTTTATGCTAGTGCTAATATTATATGTATTATATATTAATAACTTTTTTTTCAACATTATATGCATATATATAATAATAATTCCGAAACAATAGCCGCGTTCAGCAAAATTCAACGGGAATGTCTCATACTCCAATTACTCCAGTTTAAACACTTTGCAATTGATCACAGTCATTTGTAATGACCGATGTTTAAAGTTTTTCCAATGGACCAACTAATTTAAAAAATTTTCCATATATCAATTTTATATATATATATATACACACACACACCATATCCTACATATACACGTATATAGTTTACAGCTGTTCCGAGTGGTGCCTCCGTAGTCTCTCCGATTTCTTAACCTACAAAACCATTATTAACCTACAAAAAATTTAGTGAGAGAAGTCAGATTTCAGAAGAGCGTCATATAACCTCGAGTCGAGGAGAGGTTGAAGGCGCAAATCCACCATCCGGTGGAGCAACACAACAAAAACGAAACCCAATGAGATAAGAGAGAAGAATTCGAAGAATCAGTATATATTCCAGTTAATTAAGGAGAAATAGTGGAGAAAATACAGGTTATATATAAGCACTTGATCAAGAAGATAGGAAAGATCTAACGTGATCGTACTCAAAAGTGATAAACATTTTTTTTAACAATTGTAACCATGTATTAATATTAACAACAGTTCTGCTGCGAACATTTTATCGAGCATTCGCTTTACTGTAAACACAACAAAATGGGAGGCGGAGATTTGGTAAGTTTGTTTATATTTTTTAAGATTAAAACGACACAAAAAAAGTCAAACGTGGAGTTTGCTATATATTTTTTAAATCACTACACATAAAACTCTTCGTTATAGAATTTGAAAAAGTCATGGCATCCATCTACTATGAAGAATATGGAGAAAGTGAGGAAGGCGGAGCAGCAGAATGTTCAAGAGACTAGAAGGATAGCCGAGTTGAAGAAAGAGATCGAAATGGAGAAAGATTTGGAAGACTTGAAAAAATATGCTGTCGAACAGGGTGTAATAGAGAAGAAGGACGATAAGAAATTAGACTGGATGTATAAAGGGCCAAATGAAATGATCAACAGGGAGGAGTACTTGTTAGGCAGACCAGTCGATAAGGCTTTTGAGCAAATGCAACAGACGGAGAAAGATGTAGAGCTGAATAGAATGCCAAAAAACCACGTTGAATATGGTAAATATATATTTGTATATACAAGATAGAGCATAATTCGCGGTACAACTGGATTATTTATGTAAAAACAGACAAAGAAAGTGTTGTAAAATTTTTTCGTAGAAAATTGATTTTGAAAATTTTGATTTTCTCGAATATTAAGACACTTTCCATATATAGGTGTGTACATATGTGGATATATATGTATATATGTTCTATATTTTTATATTCTAAGTAAATATATAACCGAGGTACAACCTGTCTCTTGATAATATGTATTTAATATATTTTTTATTTGATATTAGAATGCATCCCACCCTCGCTGCGATTTTTCTCTGGTAACGAACAAGTCGATCTGGCTAGAAAAATACAAGAAGATCCTCTATACGCGATAAAGAAGAAAGAAATGGAAAGTAGGAATCAGCTGTTGAAAAATCCTGTTAAACTAAAGCAACTCAAGGAATTGGTAAATGGATATGCTGATATATTTATTTATTTTTTGTGTTTTGTTTATATCGGACATTTATTTATACTTGTGCATAATTCATAGCTGGAGCAACAATCATCCAAAAGTAAAAGTGAAAAGAAGAAAAAGAAAGAAAAGAAGGATAGTAGCGAGGATGAGGCCAAATTGGATATGTTATTAGCCACTAAATATAAACAATTGAAGGATAATATCAGTGAAAAAGACTTGCTGAAATCGATGAAAAAAATAAAACATAAGCGAGCGAAAAAGTCAAAGAAGCGTTATCGTGATTCCGACAGCGAAACGGATAGCAGCAATGATGACACTTCTATTAAAAAGAAACACCACAAAAGACGAAAGAAACAAAAGAAAGGTACAACTGATAGTGACGATGACAGTAGTGATAGTAATAGTAGGAAGAGTATCACTAAACGTGAGAAGGAAGATAATAAAAAGGAATATGACAGGAAATATTCGAGAAATGATACAAAAATAGACGAAATCAAGAAAGAAGATAGAAAAAGAAAAGTGAGTGAAGAAAGAAATCCGAAATATGAGAGCAGCAAAAGACACAGAGAGGAAAGAGAGGAGTATAATAAGAACGACAAACGACGACGATATGACAGTAATTATCATAGAGATGACTCGAGAAATAGATACAATGATAAAAGAAGATATTCAATGGACAAACAAAGCGATGCAACGGTGAGTGAGAAAGCTTTTAATTTTTTAAAGATACAGAATCAATTTTATAAGTAAAAAAGTAAAGTTAAATAAGATATATTTTAAAACCTTGTATTAAAATACGCTTTTGCATTATTTTAGAAGAAATATGATTTTTCAATATATTTTCAATCAATTTTGTAAATATATATTTGAAAATAAAAACATCTTATTTTTGTCAATTTAGAGTACAAAAAAATTAAATTAAAATATTCGATTTTACAGATATCTAATAGCGAAAGAACCTCAGCCAACAAATCAACTTCCAATACTGATCACATTAGATTTAAGGATAGAAAAGAAGAGAGATATAGGTCGAAGGCAAGGTCAGGTCTTACCGAGGAGGAGAAGGAGCAACGGCGAAAAGAGATGATGGCAAACGCAGTGTGGCGCGATAAAGAAAGAGAGAAAAACGTGAAAATATACCGCGAGCAAGAGAAGAAGGAAGAACAGAATAGCGATAAATCGTACAATAAGGACTTTATCAGGTAATTAGACATATTTCACATTCAAATGTACATTTTATATATTTTCTTTTCGCGAAATGAAATAAAATCAATACTGAATGCTTGTTGTAGAAAACAATTGGTCGTCGCGACAGAAGTGGGTACCGTCGCGTCTAGAATCAAAGCCAACATTAACAATATACAACGTTCCGGACGAGCGATGGATACAAATTTCGCTAAAAGATGATTATCTCCAATCACATGTACTTTGTACATTTGCACAGTACTGGAGTTTTCATACATGAAAATTCTACAAAAATGTAAAAATACATTATTGAAATATATTATTGCCTAAGGGAATAGGAGCTTTGCATTAAGTTTTCGTCGGATTATTATATCGTTGCTTTATGTCAACAAGGCAATATACATATATACACAACGAGATATATTGCATCTACATATATATACAATTTTCTTGCTAACCTTAAATAATCTCAAGTTTAATGTCGATGATCGAGTTGTGTTATGTAATTTTACACATTTCTCGGGGCGATTCAATGACGCCGTCAGTGGGATCCACGATAGTTGTCACGCAGCCGCCGGTGAGAACGTTGTTGACTATGGCCCTCGCGAGATATCCCGTGGTCACCGAATAATGCGCGGAGAAGAAAAACGATTTGTCGTCGACATTTGATAAATTGTGATCCTGCGAACATACAACACACGCATGGAAGTTTTTGAAAAGGTAATACAATGTCATGTGCAGCACACGTGTATTACCTTACAGTACATGATAAAGCTGTCTTCCACGATCTGATTGAGATCTAGCTGTTTCTGGAAGCTCAATTCTGGATTTCGAAGCAGAATAGTCGACATGATACTCAAGAGCTGTAACCATACAATTGTAGCTATTATTTTCGTTTGAAATGTAACGTAAACACTTGGTTTTTGTATTTTTTAATCTTTTTATTTTTTCCCCCCATATATATATTGCTCCGTTTAATCGTTTATAGTTTTAAATTTCTTGTATTTCTTGCATTTGACTTCCTCATCGTTTTTACTATTTTTCAATACACATTTAATTACTTCGCGATATTCTGGATTTTTTACGATATTTATTTTAAATTTTCTGTGCAATTTTACAATATTTTCTATAATTTTATAAATAATGTATAAATTAAATGTGTAAATAATTATACATATACTTAATATAACATTATTTCTGTTTCATTTAATTGCGCGATCTATCGTACATTTAACATATTTCACGTATATGAATAGAAAAAAAAGCGAGAAAAAGTATACAATAAAAATCGATTACTTACTTCGACTATGCCCTGCCGATATTCTGGTAGCTGTATGTGATTCAACAAGGATTCCACGAGTAGGGCAAACGTGAGCTCAGAACGAGTCATGCTGGACAATGTGGTTTGCTGAGGAAGTTCCTGCCTGTTCACCACGATACCGCCGGGACAGCGCATCAGGACATCCCATACTTGATTGTAGAAGTGTGCCGGCACTCTACACAAGCAACCTTCGATTTTTCGGCGACCGAGCACCGTGAGGCTATCGGCAATAGATAAATATATCAATAAACATTGAATCTCTTTTCAAAAGTTACAATGTAAATTGACCGACATACTTTTCTTCATGAGCCCAGTCTTTCACTGTCAGTACTTTAATAAGGAACTGTCGGATTTCGTAAGGACTGTAATTCTCAATCGGCTTGGCATCCTTCACAAGCATCTGCAGGTAAAGTTTCATCGCTTCCAAGACCCACCTGAACGTTTTTGAATAACGGTTAATGATGGTTAATAATCTTTGTATAGTAACGTCTAAAAATCATTGTAAAAAAGATTGATGTTCTACCCGATGCGTATTTTCAATATGCCTTTGAACATCTCTGGATTAGTACCGATAAGTCTACCGCAATACAGCAGGATCTCTTGTTGCAGCACGGCCTGCACCACATTGTGCGGCTGTATCGTGGAATACATCACCGACTGTATTTCCGTCGGCGTCATAGGTTTGTCAAATACCGTTTCTTTCTGCCCAATCACTCCCACCGCGATCTAACACCATTAACAATAGACTTGACAATAAATTTCGAGAGTTGAAAAATTTTGAATCTATTGAATTTAGAGTCTCTATATTTATTTTTTCAATACCTGTTTTCCTTTGACTAGTACACCCGTGATAAAAGGACTGATGCTGTCTACTGTGTGATTCAGTAGACTGCTGCAATAACGTACGGCCATCCAGAACCTTAAGGATCCAGCCTGTTGATATAATGCTCTCAAATTATCACAAACTGAAACATAATTTAAAAAAAAAAACAATTGAATGAATCTCTAAAATCTAAAATCATAAATTGGAGATAAAGTCCATAAATAAGAGAAAAAAGTAAGATATAAAATACCTGTCACTCCATTGATCTCGTAATAAATTCCTTCTCGTTTTATCAAAATACCATATAACTGGCATTTAGCGTACAAGCCAATACTATTGCGAAGTTCATTGAATATGTTACCAAGAGATTCATTCATCATATGCTGAAAAACGGGATTATCGGTTGTCAATTGCTTTCGCTCAATTCAGAACTTAAGTGTAGCCTTTAAAATAGTTTTTAACATGATTTCGTACAGAATAGTCCTTGATGCTTTCGGAGTAGGCGATAGCCTTTGGGACATCCGTGAGACTCTGATAGCCAATATAATCGTGCTGCAGTTGTTGAAACTGTGTCAAGTCCAGATCTGTTTCCATAGTATTTACAAAGTCCAAGTGCTCTGTGTATAATTAACATGAATTACTGTGAATATCATACATAATGACACGCAAAAGAGTAGCTTAATCGTAGAAGAACTAATAGATATCGATTTTTTACCTTTTATATTTTATTTTTTTAATTAAAAAATAGTATTATGCAATAGTCATTTCATTATTATAAAAAAATGTAATAAGATATATATATTAAAATATATATATTATAAAATTATTATTTTAAAGATTATGCTAAACTTTGTTATTAATGTTAAAATCAAGCTAGTTTTTTTATAAAGCTATTTGCTTTATGCAGAGACTAATCTTATACGAAATATTACCGATGCAAGAAGATGAGATCAAATTTTGCAGCCGGCCGATGCGTACTTTCGTCTTGTCGCAATAGCCTTTTTTCAGCATCGCAAAAAGGTCTAACATCTTTTTAAATTGCGGATCTCTAAACAAATTTTTGTCAAAATAAGCCAATTCTTACAAGCTATTCATAAATGTGTTCGAACTTACCGCATGTGTTCCTCTCGTATCAAAAGACACACAGTGGGTCGGCCAGACAGACGCCAGTACTTGCCTACGAATTGCAATTCCGTCTTGATGTCATCGATCAGCAGAGCCATGTCTCTGTATAAATAAAACTCAGACACTTCGAAGATCAAAGGGTAACAGAGCACCGTCATCCCACAGACTCTGTACACCTGTACATGTAAAAGAATTCGTCTGTCAGCGTTATTTTACACATCACGCAAGATAAATATATTATGCATACGAGCTTTATATTTTTATTTTTTCCAGGAAAAAATATAAACATATAAAATTACACGCACCTTGCTTGTACCCAAAGAGCCTATAGGCCGCGCGGGTCGCCCCTGAAGATCCAACTTCTTGTTCACTCCTAACTTTTGGTAAACCTTCACTAGCTGGGTAGACGACAGAATCTGAACGGGCTCGACCTCATGCGGCGTTTGTGTCTGAATGCCATATGTGGCCATCATGGCTTGCAATCGCATAGATTCTGCGATCAGAACGATTTGTACTACTAGGTCGGTATGAGTGCCCTGGTATACAAAAGTACAGCAGTGCTCATAAATCACATGCAACATGGGGGATATTTCTGGAGTCATATTATGTAATAAAAATAGCAGTCATTTTTCCAAATTTTAACTAGCGTGTATGTAACTCTGTACAAATTCGTGACAAGCTTAATCGAGAAGCTTATTATATAAATCATAAGATGGCATACGAGAAACACATGCTGAGATATTGTATAACTTCACAGATAAATCAACCGACAAAAAAAATAGTGCATGTTACTACATACACTGTACTATCATATCAGCAGGCATATACTTTAAATTACTTACAATAGTGGGTTTTGCCTGTGTAGAATACAACAAAAAAATTATTAGCTTGTAATTATGTATGAGTTATGAAAATTTATTAAATTTAAAACAATTAAGTTTCTCTCAAAATCATTGTCAGTACACACAATTTATATTAAAAATTACGTATGTCACTTAATTTCAGAGCAAAGACATAGAGAATTAAACAAATTTCTGTTTTTGAGATTTGCTACGATTATTCAAAATCAATCAGAGTAATTGATTAATACACATGTATATACATTTTCTTTGCTTTTACCTGGAAAGCAGAATATCTTCCTGCTCGCCTCGGACGATTATACGACGGAAGGTATCGACGTATCGGATCTAATTCGTTGATGTGCAAAAGGCCGGCGGTGAGTAGCTGCGCAATTACGAACATAGCCTGATTCCATAAGTATATGGGCGTATCTTGATCCACAGTCTTAGGGCCTCTCCCCTCATCGCTGGGTAGCCGATAAGCGCTGCACGGCTCGTTTCTTTCAGCTTCCAAATTTTCCACGGGTACATAATAGTACATGGGGATCACCGGATCTATAAATCATGCAAAATAAATCTTATTTCTGCGATTCGTAATTATACAATTATCGAAAAGACAATTTACAAAAAGATGTTTGCGTAACAGGTATTGTTTGAAGTTAAAGGTGAAATATGATATACTATTTATCGAGAGATAGAGAACCTCCGTTCAAATCCTTGTGGACTCTTGTTTTCAATAAATTTTGATACTCTTCCACTTGTTCCGTTAGACTCTTGTATACACCATCTATTATCATGAAGATGTAAAACAATGGCCATTCACACTCGATGTTGTCGAAATCCTGTTGAAGCAAGAGGCATCGGTTATTCTATTAAAATTCTCAAGTCAATTTCTCGAAAAGTCGTCGAATGCCGTAAATAACACAACACCTTGATCTCCCCAGCTTTGTAATATCGTCGCTGCTTGTCCTCCAGTACGGTTTTGAAGCCGTCTCTTCCGAATCGTTTGAAGCCATAATTGCCTTTCAGCCTGCGGACTATGCTCGCTTTCGTTTCGTTGTACAGCACCTCCTCGTGAGTCGCGAAGGCGGGGAAGGATATCGTTGGCAGCAGAGCCACGTCCACGCTCTAGAAATTTAGAATCTGCTGTAAAAATTCGGCCCGTGCGACTTTCACGCGATTGAGATTGCTTACTTTCGAGCTGGACTCTCTTGGAAGCATTGTCTCGAAAATACTACGATTGCGATTGTGAGCGTCAATATCGACATATATCACAGACCAAGATGCACCTTTTTCGCCAAACAAGTTACAGCCGTTAATCGCCTCCAGCGCGCTCTTGGCGATTCCGATGGAGCTGGCGTGGATCTCGGGTGTTCCGTCGTTGTAGCGACTTCCACGTTCCCACATACCGTAATCCGGCGTACGGTACGCTCTCTCGACGTAGTACACCAGATTTTGCACAAAGGCCACTTCGTCTTGTGTATATACAATTTGTAGACCAGAGGAGATCATTTGCACCAGAAATATCAGGTAAAGAGACACGATGTCTATCTGCACGGGGCAGAACAAATATTTGCAATCATTAAGTGAACATTCCAATCGTTATAACAATTGAGAACACATCATACAACTTCAAATTATGTTATTTTATCGTAATATATTTTTAGGTGAGAATAAATTACATATTTCCTCTATATTTGCGAAACTAGTGTCTTGCAGAAGTGCATATTTAAGAAATCATTATTGAACGCGCTTACTTGCAAGTGATGATAATCGGCATCCTTGTAGATCTCATCGCCAGTGTCCAAGTGGAACTTGCAGTGCAACGCGTAACGGTCGCACTGATTCTTCTTGAAAAGCTCTATTCTGGAGGACTGCTTTATCCAACACTCCAGGATACCCCGCATGCACTTCACCGCGGACTGTCCCAGCTCGTACGACTTTCCGCGATCGTCGTCTATGCGTCTGTACGCCTGGTACAGGCTCCATATCGCTGCCGCGCAGTATATACTTTCGCGCACGCTGCCGACCCTCCGGTCGTTCGAGATCTGCGGGAACAGGCCGGTTATGCAGCTCTGATAGCGCAGCAATTGCCTCTTGACGATACCGTAATATATGTCCAACTGTTTGACAGTGTCCTCGTAGTTGGATATCTTGAGAAACATATCGGCGTCTATGTCTATCACGCTTCCTTGTCGTATATTCCTGATCTGCGTGATTCTGCAACAAGAGCGTAAATTAATCAACTTCATAAAAAATCCCCCTCTCCGCATCAATTGTATTTCCTCTCAATTCCGACAAGATCACATACCTCTTCGCGCTCGACGATGCCGTCACTGAAGTGGCCATTTTATTCAAAATATGAGCAAGCTATTTTTGATTTTAATATATACCTACAGACACACAAGTTCTTATATGTATACATACGGCATTTCAAAATGTACTGACGGTACTGCGAATCTGCAATCTGTAATCACACATGTGTTACAGATTCTCAGTACATTTCAAAATACACGTTACACTATTAATAGTTATGTGCATTCGTTGACGTAATATCTCACTGAACTATAAATTTCATTATTTAACATTTACTTAAATAGTCAACAAAACAGTTCATTCTCCTTGGCAAGTTCAGCCCGATGTCCTTGAGCGGTCCTTGAATTCTCTTCTCTCGATTGAAGGCCAGCTGGTCGTGCACAGAAGCAGGAGAAACGAGCTTTTTTTTTTTATCGGTGCAGAAAGTCACGTAAGGTCAGAGGGTTCAAAGGGGAGTTGTGCGAGAGATCATCCAGGCTGCAGCATTCCGTCTCACACGTGGGCTGGCTGCGTTTGATTGATTCATCATTTTTGCTACTTGTGTCTTTCGATCTCTGTTTTATGTCTAACGAACGACAGAGCTAGAACGACACTAGTAGCGCTAGCACCGTCTTCCGAACGCACTTACGATGCCGTTAAAAATAATACGATGAATAAAAATAATACATCACGCGTACTCATGCGTGAAACACACTTTTTCACAGATCACAGCCTTCAGTCAGCTGATCAGCGAGCCGATTCTTTAATTCGATTGGTCTACACTTGTTGGACCAGCGAAGAACTTGAAGGCAAGAGCCAATCGTATTGAAGAATCATTGAGCGCTCGCTGAACTTGCTTTGCTGAACGCAGCTTTTCAAGTAAAGCGTAGTTCGTAGATCTCGACGAGGGGTAGCGAGAGGCGTAGTGTCGTAACCTCCGTTTTTAGGTTGGGAATTCTCAGACTCAGAATCCTGAGAGAGACGGTGGGCCTGTGAGTTGACAGTGCGAGCGGTCGACCGAAGCAGCAGCTATGCCACGAATAGATTATTACGACGAAGTGGAGATCGAGGATTTCGAGTACGACGAGGACGAGGAGGTCTATTACTACCCCTGCCCGTGCGGCGATCAGTTCCAGATATCCATTGCCGAGCTGGCCGCCGGCGAGGTGGAGGTTACATGTCCCTCCTGCTCCCTCGTGATCAAAGTGATATACGATCGGGAGGTCTTTCGCGTTAAGCAAGAGGAGCTCGAGAAGAGGAGCAATAAAACAGCTATCGCAGTTTAAGGTAAGTAGAATTAGTCCGAACAATTTTCCGAGATGTAAGGTTAGGATTGTACTGGAAAGATCCGGTCCCTTGCGGACGAAAGTTTGAAGGCACGAATGAAACCGCGAATGCCGTCCGATGATTATTCAGTTCAACGACGTGTTGATGAAATCAGGCCCGTTTAACGCGTTTTTATACGAAATGAAGAAAAAAATCTGACGGAAAAGCGAGACATTAAAATGGGCTAGAGTTTTCGATCCTTTTAGGTTAAGATACCTTAAAACCACGTGCGTGACGCACACCGTGTGACCACTTGCGTCCGTGCTCACGTGGAATCTCGCTTCGCGTTATAATCAGATAGAAATCAGATAGAAATCTTGGATAAAGAGTCTTCTTGAGTAAAGAAAAATACATCTGAAATGGTGTACATTAAAATCTAGAAGTCAATAAATGGAATGATACAAAAATGCTTTCAGATGCGTATCTTCCAATACTAGAGCTGCATTCGGTTTGGCGCTTATAACGCTCATAGCATCACTTCCACCTTGTTGTTTATTAAATGTCAAACACAAATGATGCTCATAAGCAAACGCTGTAAGCGCCAAACGGAACACAGTCTGGATCTTCTTTCCCTCATTTAATCCTACATCCCCTCCGCATGCCGCTCAGCCATTAGAACATAATGTCCTGTGTCTCATTTTGGTTTAAGCATCACTAGTATACACATTTTCTTAAGATATTCGGGTACAGGAGTATGTATTTTCGTTTTTTTAAAATAATATCTTGTCAACAGTTTACGCTTAACATCTATTTAAATTACATGCAGATTGGATATTTTTTGTTTCAACGAGCTCACACTACTAATTTCAATATGAGTGACAATCATTATCATTGTCAATATACTGATGACACAGACAGTAACCATAAGACAAAATCTTCTTCTTCATCTGCAAAGCGAAAGTCAATCCGGTCAAATAAGAAGAAGTCGCTAACGGATGATACACACAGTGACCATAAGACAAAATCTTCTTCTTTATCTTCATCTGTCAACTGCCAAGCAAAAGTCAATCTGGCCAAATAAGAACAAACCGCTAACGGATGATACACAGAGTGACCATAAGAAACAATCGTTAGTGAATGACGATACATTTATTACAAAAGATAATTGTATGTAGTGGTGATAGGTGGTAGTCTAATGCAAATGTATCTCAATTTTTCATGTGATTTCAATTCAATTTGTTTGGTTATAATTATACACTTTGTGTGCACTGAAGAAAACCGTTATTATAAAGTCGTTTGTCTGAGATATATTGTTTATCAATACATATGGATATTGCTATATCATTGTTATTAAAAATATTATCAGCGATAATTCCAGCTTGGCTCTACAGTCCGTTAATGTTATTGGATTTATTTAAAAAGAGTCTTTGTATTACTTTAAATTTTTATTTGATTGATCTTTTTTTTATTTATTGCTGAAGAGAATTGTAATTTTGAATTAGAATATAAGTTTGTTCGTAAAGCTATCTGTAAAATTGGTTTGATTTATTCATTTTGTCACTCAATTTTTTTTAAAGAAATGTTGCACGATCCTCTAATCTAGATCTTCGGATATATTGCTAAAATTTTTTTTTTTTACGTAGAAGACTTAGCGGAACCTAGTAAAACAATGGCAGGACGCGGTAGAGGAAAGCCTGCTATGTCCTTTTCCATGGATCAGTTGGGCGCTTCTAAAGGAGAGTCGTTACCAGCTCCAGTTCTGCAACCATCGCCATGTTACCCCCCGTTGGAGCGGAAGCCTCCACCTATCGAGATGACCGCAGAAATGAGCTACCTGGTGGAGCTCAAGAGGGATTTCACGGAATATATGCGTGAGTCCCCAAATTATGTGACACTTGCCGTAAAAAACGAAGACATCGAGCGGTATTGTGAGGATTTCGAGGAGGCTAACGATGATACGGCCTACGAGGCCTATCATGACTGGGATTTAATGCCAGCTGAATTGAGAACGTCGAAAAAACCAAAAATCCCCAACCCGAACGTGGGATCTAGCAGGAAGAAGAAGGAGGTGGATATTGCGAAGAAACTGGCGGAATTGGAGAAAAAAGAAAGCACGCAGCAAACTGCGGAAGAAGAGGAAAAAGAGGAAAAGGATGAGGAGAACGACGAAGAAAAGGAGACGGAAGAGCGTGTAAAGGAAGAAGAAGAAGACGAGATGGACGATGGGACTGACTACGTGCTTGAATACTTCGAGAATGGCGACAATTACTATAGCGAAGATGACAATGATGACGATCAATGTTTCGACGGATAAACCTTGCGTAGGATATGTTGGAAAATTTTTTTTATATCTCTTGGTATTGGCGATCTGTTTTCAGGACTCTAACGAGCTGCAAATCATGTAAATATAAATCTCATATGTGTTTTTATTATTTTATTTAATAAAATCGGATTGTTGTGTGTCATCTAAAATTTTGCATGAAATTTCTATTCGGAGAAAACCCTGAATAGCCGCGAGTTAAACTGAACAAAAATCGCGTGGCTCATTAAATATAAATACAGATTGAATAAGTGGCATAACGTTGGTTATCATCTTTTATTTCTTTGTTTTTTTTTTATTAGAACAGATTCTTTATCGGTAACGTTGCGGTTCTAAGTTTCAAATAGCAACGAGACGCTAACACATTTATTGTGTTTGGCTTTTTTTTTCACTATCTTCTCGTTATTGATAGGAAATGAAAGGAAGATTCGTCGTTGTTACGTATGAATACAAGTTGGGGAACGCGCGGCGTGACGATTAAAACAGTCTAGAAATCACAGGAAGCGTCGGCGTGTTTTTTTTTTATTCGAGTATTTTACAATTTCTAATATATAATATATTTATATAATATATATAGCCACAATAATCTGCAATTGTAATAAATGACTGTGATGCCATCGAATAATAATAATACAAACGCGATGGTCGCGTTCAGTAGAAGTCAGCGCTTAGTGAGCGCTTCGCGCTGATTGAATTATACTTTTAGATCTAAAATAATAGTTCTATATTTCAGGGAAGAGAAAATTCTCTTTCGATAGTTGCAAAATAAACATTCTACTGAACGCGGCCAAAGTTTCTTGAGGCGGATGACTGGGGATATAGAAAAAGGGAGAGGCAGGGAGTGGAAGGATAAAGGAGCGGTATGTATATACGCAAAAATACCGTAGCGTTTATAATACTTGTTATGCATACTTCGTTAAGTTTCGGTATGATTTCATCTTTCCCGTTTATATATACCTATATATATTTTTTTTAATTTTTCCTTTGTTTATGGAATGAATCGCCGTCCGCGAATTATGCGTTTTAAAAATCCGTGTATTATAAGAACGAAATAAAAATTAAATCTTGCAGAGAAAAAGTCTTTCGAGCCCCCGAAAGAGACTTCTAGCTGTTGGATCGTTCGTCGTTCTTCAAGATCAAGTCCGCGATCAGAGGATATCTTCGGACTACTGAGAAACTCGAATCCTTTGCAATAAATAACAAAAACGGTAAATACGAGAAGAAATGAAAGTTTTTTTTTTCCGTTAGACGCGATGCGAGTTTATGAGTGTCGCGATTTGGCAGTAAATCGAATAAACGATTTCGTTCGTTGTAACTTTTTCTACCTAAATTATATTATATAAATTCGGTACTGTTCGACCGAACAAGTCGTTCCAAGTTACAAAGTCTAACAAAACGTTTGAAAGTTATCGCAAACGATTTGAATTTGATTACCTATAATGAGCCATATATGAAATTATGCATATGGAATTATGTGTGTAAAAAATAACTCATCTTTTACGTTTCTTGAACAAAACAATTGATAAGATTGTTAGGAATTATAATTTCGACACACTACGCTTTGCGTTTTGATATTGAGTGTGGTGCGAAAATATAATTTGGAAGAATCTTCAAAATGGTATATCAAAGAAGAGGGACATTTCGTTTGATATTTTAATAGGGAACGGCTGACGTGACTAAATTTTATGCCCTTCGCATTAAGCGATTTAAGTGGTTTTCACTTTTAATTAGATTTGTCGAATTGCATACAATTGAAATAATAAACGCACGGTTGAATTAATTCGCACATCGTAATAAATGAAATAAAGCTAATTAACGATCAAATTTATTCACTAACGAATCGGTATATTATATCGTTCGTGAATCGTTTTTAATGAAACAAGATAAAATTTCGATGTGAAGTCGCGTAAGAGTCATCGATTGGATTCCTAGGAAATTAATTTGGAATTATTTGTAATTATTTAATTGTTACAATATTTTTTTTACGATCACGTTTCTCGATTTACTTTTCGTTGCATTATAATAGATAATTATTACTTATATTATGGGTGAGGCAAAAAATCATTTGACGTTTTGGCGATCGTGCACTCGGCGACTGTCCGAAAGACATTGTAAATTCTCCAAAAATTAATTATATATAATCGAGTTAATGAGATTACGTACTTGATTATATATTTGAAATGTATTTACATTCGAATTTTTGAGATTTCTCATTCGCGCACTTCTACGGCATGTCATTTTCATTAATGTCTATAATGTCCATTAGCAAAATCGATTCTTTTCGGAAATTACCTCAGATTCTTCGTCTTATCTCGAGAGAAAAATCTCCTTTCTAACACTTTGTGGAATCAGAAGCGGCAATACAATTAGCATGTCCAGCACTCTAATTTGTCGCGATAAAAAGTTTGTCTTGCTAAAACAATCGATAAAAATTCATATTTTCAGTAATTATTCATAACAATTATCATCTTCCTTTCGTCAACGAAAAAGGATGGCGAAAAAACATATAGAATATTTTAAGGAACTACATATATTCTGCTCAGACAGCCTTTTCATAGCTCTCCTTACTTATATTTTCATCACAATAATCAAGTGTGCTCAGACTAGAAATACGAAAAAGAGCAAAAAGCGTATCTTCGGAAATGATAATATACATCCACAGCATGTGTGATTAGGTAATTACGAGCGCATAAGTCTCGCTCAAACACGCTCCAATTGCAACTCAGATACCAGAATTTAGGTATCTCTTATCGCTCGCAAATCTAGAAAAAACGATGTATCTCGCAGTTTGATATTTTAAGAAGTGCTTACAAATAAATTTATCGACTCGATACGAACGGAGCAATATTGATGAAGATGTTAACGATAAAGATGATGGATGTAATATTTGCTTTCGCTTTTGGTCGTTTTGGACAATTGGGGAAACGTCATTTCTCTCGGATCGAATCGCAATCTAATTCGTGCGGCGTGACGTTCTGAAAAATCACAGGACAGGTCTGCTTCTGTACTCGGACGGGCAGTGTGAGCTTGAGATACTTCTTCACATGTTTGAAAAAAAAAAAAAAACAAATATCGATTACAAGCCATATATGCTTATACAGTTTCACTATACGACATTAACGAATCGCTCAAATCTTCACTGCGAAATGAAAAAAAAAAAACGAGGAAAACCTGTCTCGTTTGAGTCGCAAAAGCGTTTAATAAATTAAATACCGCTGTCATATACATTTAAGATCACGATGACTTTACAAGTCCAGTTTATGAGAAAGAGAAATAACGTGGAGCAAGATAAAATTAATTGGAACAATTAAAATCTTTATAGAGTATAATAGAAACATTTATTTTCATTACTTTTGTGATAGTAAATTTATTAGTATTTAGTAGAAATTTTTGTAGTGATAAGAGAACTTTCTGTCTCTGAAATCGATTGAAACTTCCTGTTGAACAGATCGACGTGAGCGGAGCTATTAACGCGATTCAACCCAAATGCCAGGCCGAATGTCAAGTGGGTGCTCGCGATAAAGGGGGATCGCAGAGGGGCAATAATCGCATTTGCAGGGATTGCATCGGCAAACGAAATTCGGGGGCCGGAGCCCTTTTCGTCATTCACTCGAATGATGCTGCGAAGCGTTTCGTGTCTGTGATGTAACAATCGGTGACGATGACAGCTCCTATCATGGGAATTTGAAAATTCAAACGAAAAGAACGTCTGAAAAGCGTCGTGGCAACAATTGAATGTTGCCCTGACTTTTTAATCTTTTTTTTTTTAATGTACTTCAAACGTTCTTTAGATGCGCAATTTCATGTCGCAATTTTGGAAAGGAAAAGGTCGTCGACATTTTGTTCATATATGCAGTATCGTAGTTGGGTGAATTATCTCGAGTTTCACGAATCGGAATCGCGCGACTTATTTCTAGGTGTCATGCTTTTTTTGTCATTTTGTGTGTGTTTTTTCGTTAATTCAGTACTTCGCTAACAATTCTTTCAACGTTGAATAAGAATACTTAACTTTTGCGTTACAAACGCGACATCGAAAGCCGAAAGGCGAAGGTACAAAAAGGATCACATTATCACTCAATAAAATGTCTCAATAATCCATCGCATTCCTATATGTTAAGTAAAAGATTATTCTCTGGATGAAAAATTAGGCCGACTTTTTTACGCAATGGACTTTCAGCGGGAAGCGCTACTGTGCGATTCGTGCAGATGTAATATGTTCCAGTGGTCCTCAGATTTTTCGATATTTTTCAAATAACTTTAGAATTATTGTGAGAAAAATAAAGTAAATATCAAAGTGTTGTAAATATTTTCCTTATGGACGCGTGTTGTAATTAATCATCCGTGGACGCTCGTACACGTAAAAGCAAGTTTTAAATCACAAAAGGAAAATCTTAATATATAATAGACTAAAATATAGATAAAATTATTGTTTCTTTGTAATTAAACAAGACGGGCATAAAAAAATTAAATCGATCTCAATTCCTTTATATTGTATCGCAATATAAAATCTGGGAATCACTGATCGACTTGAAGCTTCCACAACAGTTAAATCTTTAGATGCGCTGAATGAAACTTGTTTATCTTGTCCCTACGCTCGAGTCAACGGTAACCCTTACATTCAAAATCGTTATGTCGTAATCGCATTCAGGATCGAGCAACCAATCGGTAATCGAGGCAACATTTCTCGTTTTCTTTCCCGTGTTGATGTCCTATCAGTCCGGATCCTTGTCTTATCTGTCAAGTTTTTCGTCGAGTTGTTCGCTCTGACTTTCGTTCCTCTCATATATTTAGTGTCTTGTGTATTATTTAGTATCATTATCATTATCATTATTATCGTTACATATATGCTGCTTCACTACGGTTGATTGGCTTTTGGACGTGGATCTGGATGGAGTGTGGTGTATACCGTATGCGCGCGCGTGGAAGAGACAGAGAAAAGCTCCGACATTATCGTCTTTCTGTCTCGCGGCGGTTCTTCGAACGACGACGAGCGAATATTCCTCGAATATTTATTTAATTATTCATCCGACTTTGAGTAATGAAAACGGAGTAAAATTATCTACGTCAAATGTTGCACTTAAAATAAAAATAATTTAAATTTCAATGAAATTTCGAATAAAAAAATCTCGAGCAAAAAGAATTTCGATATTTCTTTTTTTTCTTCCTTATTCCACATTTAATAAAGTCTATTAAGTCATTTAATACAGTCTAAACTGAGTTATTCATTCGCGCACTCTTTGATTTCAACTCGCTGCTT